CCCCCTCGCCCCCGGGTTTTTCCCGCCCGGTCCCCCCCAGCCGAGAGCACACGGCCCTCTGGACTCCCCGTGTCTACTCGCTGCTGAAGGCGTAAAGATGGCAGAAATTGGTGCTTCCTGAAAAATCTTCCACTCTATTATCAAAGTCCGCACAATACATAAATTGTCACTCACTGCCACGAAAATTTTTATCATAGGAAGCTATACCTTTGGGCGGTGAGGGTTTGGAGTGGGGGTGGGGGTGTGGTTGAAGGGGGTTTTTTTTTTGGTTGGTTGGTTTGGGGTGCTTTTTTGTTGTTGTTTTGTGGTTGGGATGAGAGTTTTTTGCCCCTTTTCCTATTTTTTTTTTATACATCAGCTTCTGGAAAAAAGGACAAAAATTCAAGTCATAAAAAATTAAACATGTGATCTGGGGGAAGAGGGGGATTGACAAGTCTGCAAACACATGCGAAGAAATCCACCCCAAACCAAAAACACAGAGAAGCATATAAAAAACAATAAAACCCGCACAAGCCATCTGTGAATGGCTATTTCAGAATCTTCTCTCTCTCTCAAATCAAACCTAAATGTCAAAATAAATGTGTGTGAAGATCCATTTTGCATGGAACATATTTTTCAGATGTTCCACTTTACAACTGTTTTCACAGAAAAAAAAAAAATCTCCCCACAACAGTCAAGCTGCAGGAATCATAGCTTTTAGCTAGCTAGCCATTTCCACAGCTGACTTTACACACAAGCAGCTTCAGGAACCCAAAAACAAGTACAGCACATATGTAGAAGTATTTCATAGCTTTTCTACAGAATTACAGTTTGACTTATCTTTTATGGTTTGCTTGGCAACACTTTAGCGCCATCAGAATCTCTTTAAGTTTACGGCTTCTCTCCCTTTTTCCAAAGCTGTTCTAAAGAAAAAGTTAAACAGCTACACAGTCTATAAAGTTCCATTTACACAATAAATAGGCTTGTCCGATTTAGATATAATTGAAAGTCATTTTCTGATCTTGTATACCATCAATATATTTACATTTGGTGCTTTCTAAAATCATCTAAGCCAATACAAATTCTCTCATTGTGACACAAAACAGATATTCTGGGGCTAATTCTTAATTATGAATGGTTATGAAAAAAATAATTGTAAGAAAGAGCTATTGACAAGTGGAACTAAATCCTACAATACTAAAAGCTCATAGAAATTAAGCAACGTATCTGACATTACAGTAGGTTAACTGATAAACACAGACCAGCTCAGTAACACCTTTAATTCTGATGCCGTTACACAAAATGCAATGAGGGATGTAAGTAATTCTATTTTACAGTTTGGGATATCTAGACAATAGTCTGGAATTCAAGTAAATCTGTGCTTCACAAAGCAAGTTATACCGTGGCTCTGCTTAGCACAATATTACCTATTTAGACATATGGTCTTATCTGCAAATCCTCTAATATATAAAGAAAAACTGTGGGATTCACTTTAAAAAAAAGGAACCAAAGATAGAAACAGAAAATTAAAACATTTTTACTAGAAACTAATTGCTATAAGGAAACATAGTGCGAGGCTCTGAAACTGATTTTTGCAAATGCAGAACCTGGGGTGACCTATACTTTTTTGTAAATGCTTTGTGCCTTCTGTAAACAAACAAAGGAAAAGTCTCGTTATATTTGTTCCTGAAATGCTCACTAAGATTCTCTCATAGTGAGCTTCATGTTTTTGCCTAAATAATCACAGAACGATGAGACCTTAATAAGACAGAAATGGTTACAACAATATTGCATACACAGGAGATGTATGCATTAGAAATCTGTAACATCTACCTCAGTGACTTGGTCATTCTTAAAGGTGCACCGTAACCCAGATCCTCTTAAAAATGCAAGACAAGTGGTTGGAGAGGGTGGGTTTTTTCATTTTTGTTTTTTAGTTGGATTTTTTATGTAGAGACAAAGTATGAAAGAAATCCTTTATAGAAGTCTAAACAGACATTGATATATTTCACCATCTTAGGTGCAGCGTGTATGCCAGACCTTGAATACACGCAACACATTTAAAAGTTCACTTCTATCATTATAGGTACGCTATTTGTATTTATACTGTGAGTACGCAAACACATATCCAAGCACGCAATTATACACAGAAACACATCGTTTAATATAGCCCCTGGCCTGACTCGGCTATCAGGAAGGAAGTCTTTCAATGTTCCTATATAGAGACTGGAGCTCAGGAAATTAAAACTTATCTCCAGAGTTGCTTCTCTGTGCAGGAATGTTCCCCCTTCCACAGCCTAAGAATCTAATTCATTTTCCATTTCAACTCTTTTCCCTCCCCTCCAGTCCACAGGCAGTCATTACAAGATATTCCGAGCGCTTGTTGGTTTTGAAAACACCAAATCTGACGGTAGTACTGATGGACAAGTACGAGGTCTTGTGTATGGACTGAAGTTACTTACAGGGAAAAGGTGTGTTTTGTGATGACTTTTTTGCAAAGGATGTGAGTACTAAATTAAAAGATTTTTCAAAACTGCATCAAGCCTGTGACCGGATACAGATCTACTTAATTTGTATTTCAGGAAGAAATTATCAGCCTGTAATTACAGGACTCGTAAGTGACTCCAGTGACATAAAGTGACTCAAGTTTTCCTTGTATGTAACATATATACATCCTTTCCATTGTATGTAACATATATACATCCTTTCCATTGTATACATTCTTTAATGATATTTTTTCTCCCCCTAACTCCCTTCAAATACCCTGCCTGCACACAAATTCTGTCAAACTTGTTCTGACCTTAACAGTAATCGTCTCATAGCATTTCTGACTGCACTTGTCTGAGTGGAAAAGTATGCAAGATCAACTGCTAAATGAATTTGTCCCACCATCATGGGGTGGTCGAGGGGAATAAAACAAAACAAACAAAAAAAACCCCAGTTCAGGTTTCTGATAACTAATCTGGGCTAGCCCACTTTGACTTGTACTTTTTTCATATGAACAGTTCTGGCATATATTTAAGCAGCCAACAGGATCTGTAAGGTCTTTACAAAGAGTATTTTCTGATCAAATACAATGTTATTTCTTCCCTATGCTCAGACCTCCAATATTTTCATATAGCTAGGAATTCCACCTCTCTCTTCCTTAAAAACCTGGACTGAGAATAAGCAGCCTCTGAAAAACAAAACAAACCAAACACACAAAATCTCATCTTGGCCAAGACCCAGAATACAGAATTAAAAGTCATCTCAGCACACTGGGAAATAGGGAAATCCAATGTCTATAGCACCTGATGCCAGCATAGATAATGGACCCAAGTTCATGGCTGAAGGATGAATGGTAGAACCTCTGGATGAATAATGCTGTACAGCATGGGCTGAATTCAGCTTAAACCAACATTATTATTATTTTTTTTTATTTCATATATTCACAAACAGGCTCTTCCAAAGAGAATTTAAACTCTTACTGAAAGGTGTCTAGCAAAAGGAAACTAAGTCAATAGCAAATCACCAGTAATACAGCAATATTAAAAAGAAGGATTATGCTTATGGATAAGTATCATCCTGTCTTCTAGAGGAAGAATAACCACTTTTAGACCAGGAAAGCACGTGGTCCAAAATCTCACAAAAAACCCCTCTTCTTGAGGATGCCTGTTATTTTCTGACATACCCTATCTAGAACCAAGCAAAACAGTTCTCATGCAGTGTAATTCTGGCCACATTAAAGCCAATGGCAAAAGTCCAACTGACTTCAAGGGTCTGCGATCTCACCCAGAGTGTCTGGTAAAAATGTCAGAACATTCCTCTCTGCAAATTGAAATAATAAATTCACTTCCAGCTGAAACCAGCTAGTAGGCAGCAAAACAGAAAAAACCAACTGAGCTGAGAACGGAGAAAGTTTTAGTTTAGTCAAGTTTGAATTGAAAATTCAGGCCAGCTCTTATTTTACATATAAGCTGGTTGCCTATTCCTACAACTTATTATCTCCATACATGCCATCATACAGCATATGGTCCTTTATGTTCTCAAGCATGAAAGTCTGGTGTGCCTGTGGCCACCTGTTACAGATTTTCCATTACAAGAGAAAGAACAGGAACCAAAAATAAAGAATAACTTCACTGAGGAAACACTATATGACCCTGTCCTGAGAAAAAGGCTGTCATTTGACATAAGCTTCTGAGAAGGAATTTCAGCAGCAAACTCCAGGCAAATCACGGACAGTCCTCCATTTGTGGAGCTGTCTGCCAACCAGGCTCCTATTGATAACACAGAAAGTATTCACGGAAGAAGACAATTTCAAGGAATCGGAGCGTGGAATGCTGGGCCTGAAAGCGGTATTTACAGCATGCCCTGAAAACATAACTTCTAAGCTCGCAAATGAGCGAGCCGAGAGCAAAGCCACACGCTTGCTTTCAGGTGAGCCACTGGATTTGCAGCAGTAGAGCCCAGAGCTCCCGCTGTGCTCTGCTGATGGAGGGAAGCAGCGGAAAAAGAATAAATGTATACATCTTTTGCTGTACATCTTAACAGAGGTGTACCATTAAAGTCTAAATCTCTATTTTTATGTAGATAGAGGAAGTTCAAATAGAATTTGGTCCCAGTCAGAAC